GAAGGACACTATATCATAATTAAAGTGTCTATCCAACAAGATCTAAAAATTGTAGTATTTATGCTCCTAACATGGGAGCAGCCAATTATATAAGCCAATTAATAACAAAATCAAAGAAACACACTGATAATAATACAATAATAGTAGGGGACTTTAACACCCCACTCACTGCAATTGACAGATCATCAAAGTAGAAGATCACCATGGAAACAAGGGCTTTGAATGACATACTGGACCAGATGGACTTCAGAGATATATTCAGAGCATTTTATCCTAAAGCAACAGAATACACATTCTTCTCAAGTGCACATGGAACATTCTTCAGGACAGATCACATACTGGGTCACAAATCAGGTCTCAACTGGTACCAAAAGATTGGGATCATTCCCTGTGTATTTTCAGACCACAATGTTTTGAAACTGGAACTCAATCACAAGAGGAAATTTGGAAAGAACTCAAATACATGGAGGCTAAAGAGCATCCTACTAAAGAATGAATGGGTCAACCAGGAAATTAAAGAGGAATTTTAAAAATTCATGGAAACAAATGAAAATGAAAATGCAACTGTTCAAAATCTTTGGGATGCAGCAAAGGCAGTCCTAAGAGGAAAGTATATAGCAATACACGCCTTTCTCAAGAAACAAGAAAGGTCTCAAATACACAACCTAACCTTACACCTAAAGGAGATGGAGAAAGACTGCAAATAAAGCCTAAACCCAGCAGGAGAAGAGAGTTAATAAAGATTAGAGCAGAAATCAATGAAATAGAAACCAAAAGAACAGGAGAAGAGATCAACAAAACTAGGAGCTGGTTCTTTGAAAGAATAAGATTGATAAACCTGGGGCGCCTGGGTGGCTCAGTCGTTAAGCATCTGCCTTCGGCTCAGGTCATGATCCCAGGGTCCTGGGATCGAGTCCCACATTGGGCTCCCTGCTCGGCAAGAAGCCTGCTTCTCCCTCTCCCACTCCCCTTGCTTGTGTTCCCTCTCTCGCTGTGTCTCTCTCTCAAATAAAGAAAT